TAGTCACTTTCTGCTAGTCCCCATCTCTAAAGGGTCTATCATTTTAACATCACCACCCTGGTGACAAAACTCGCAGTATGGGAACATTTGGGAAATACAGACAAGCCACATCCAAACTGGAGCACTAATTGTTCAGTTTTGTGTTTGACTGGGGAAAGTGCCATGTTGAGGCACTATCCATGTGTTTCCTGATGTATGATGGCTCAGAAGAAGTAGAAGAAACTGCACTAAGGTCCCCACTTTTCCCAAGGTGTATGAAATTATGTTATGGGCTTACGAGTAGTAATGAACACCAAGAGACACTGTGCCGTATCCTCAAAGTGTAGCCAGCAGACTGGATTCACCAGTGGCTGGCTTCCTTCTGAATCCATAGCCTGCCTAGAAGGCAGCCATGTTGGTCCTTGAAGGTGACACAGGAGAGCTCATTAGCACTAGAATCTTTACAGCAAGAGCAGGATGCATGCTGGCACAAGGTGCAGACCCCTTCGCTGCAGTTTTACTCTCAAAACTGTAGCCAGCAGTCTGTAGCAATGTACAAAAGTACTAAGATGGCGCTTATAGGTAGATCTCAGAGGGAACACAAATGACTGCTTAAGGATCAGCACATGGGTCTGCTGGGTGATTCTTCTCGTTCTCCTCCTCCTTCTCTTCCTCCTCCTCCTCCTCCTCTTCTTCTTCCTCCTTTGGTGCTGAGCTATCTCCCTGGCCCCTTGCTGGGTGATTTGTGATCAAGGACTCCTATCAGAAGACCTCTGATAGTGACATAAACATAGTGGGCAGTTATCTATTTAGAATTAGTTACCCAGGGAAGTTTATGCAGAAATGAAAACACAGTGCAATATATGCATATACTAGATTATTTAAAAAAATAAAAATGAGAAATTCAAGTGATTCCAGTTTTTCTATTTAATTTTCTGTTTTCATTTTTGTATCAAAGTATCATTTTTTTCTCAATACATGTAGGTGATCAATGTTAGTAACTTGGTATGCATACCTTCATTCTTTTAAATTCAAACATTTTATGAGAGGATGCCACTGTTATCTTTGCATTAGAGACCAAAATATGAACATTCCTTGTGTCCTGATTTTTCACTTTTGTGAGTGTATATGTGTGTGTGATATTAGGGGTTGAATCCAAGGCCTTTTCTCTGAGCTACATCCTACTTTCAATTTTTTTTTTTTTAAACTTTCAAC